AAATGCGCCTGTGGTTTTTAGAGCCCGGGGAGGCGGGCAGAGCTGGAATCTGGAGAGCGTGTGCCCCATCCTTTGTGACTCTGTGTCCACGCTGCAGCCCTGCCCTCGGGTGCACTTTTGTGGCTCTGAGGGCAGGATCTGGGCTTTAGATAATAATTGCATAGATTTGCTCAGTAAACACAGGGTAACCATAGGATAATTATATGTTCTTATGGAGATGGGGTTGGTAATTACCTTCAGTGGCCCCAAAGTATTATTTAACACATATTCTGGTTTATAAGACAGAAATAATGATGAATCTGCTTGGTAATTACACAGCATTTACCCACTACATATCCTGCCAGTAGCTGGTACTTAGCCCGTCATTAGGGGCTAGCCGTTGCTTTGGTAAATAAGGAGTTCTTCTTATTATTGGCCTCTAGGCATATAAAGCATTATTAAAACACCATTAGTGACATTTTTCCAAAGGGTAAATACACACATCTGTATGAGAAGCCAACTTTCCTTCGGCTAAGTGCTTTATTTCTACCTTTCTGACAGGCACCAATCCTGACCTGAGCGTCGGCCCACTCTGAGCTCTCCTTGATGAGCAGATGAAGTGAGACCCGCCCTGGCACAGGGATAGCAGGAGTCACCACTGTTTTCAAGGTGAGGATGGTTCTTCAACTCACTAAGTGCCGTGCTCTGTGTAGCAGGGGCGCCAGGCCTGGCTCCACCACCCTGAAGTGGGCTAGGTCAGCAGATTGGGCGCCAGGGTTAGCCACAGCCTCTGGCTGGTCCTATGTGCAGCCTCCCTCAAGGTCCTCCGAGGGCAGGGCCTCAGAGCCCCACAGTGGGTCGGAGACTCTGGGATAAGGGGTATTCGGGGTACACACAGAAAGGAGCACATGCACATCAGATCCTGGATGAGGGCGAGGCAAGCACAGAACTGGCCTCTTTGTCCTTGACAAGGGGCCGCGGGAAAGCGGCCCGTTAGTCCAGAAGGCAGTAATTTGGGGGGGCACGGCTTAGCTCTAACTGCTGTTGGCTCGGCCCCTTGCATCAGAAGCAATCAACTCTTTGTAATCAATAAGGAACCCAAGGAGAGCAGCCAGCCGTTACGGCTGGTGGGCAGGACAGGGAGCGGCCGGCGGCACGGACAGAGCCCTCGTTAGCATTCCTCCCCACCTCGCCCAGCCCATTTCAATACCAAACATGAACTCATTCCAAAGCCCAGTGCCAAGGCAGAAGGCCAGTCCCAGTGGCCTGTTTCTTCTGTAATGAACTCCAGCAGTCTGACTGGCTTGAGAAACGACTTGGGTTGGATAGAAGTGAGGGGGGAGTTGTTGGGAGGAGCTCAGGGTTGAAGTCAGAAGGCCTGGGTTCAAATCCCAGCCTCTTTACCTGCCATGTGATCTTCGTAGTCACCACTGTGAGTTCTGCTCCCTCACTGGTAAAACTGTTAGCTCAGAAATTGTACCTATCTTGTCCCTGAAGTCCCTGTACCCAGCCCAATGCCTGCCACCTTCTAAGTCTCTAATCAGCATCTTAAATTAAGACGAGGGACTTTGTCATATAATTAACGTGCATGAATCCACCCATTACACATGGTGAAAAGCAGAGAGAACAAAATAATAATGTCCAATAACAATTTAAATAGTACAGAAGATTTTGCTTGATGATGCATGCAATATATTCATCTGTCCCTGGAATGATACCAAAGCTAAGGTATCCACCTGTGAAAATCTTGCAGTGACAAATGCATATACAGTTATATTTTAATACTGCATAGAAGAATACGTGCTCTCACTAAATAATGTGCAATATGTTACCATATCCATTCTAAATATATCAAAAGTAGAACTTCTTTGTTGATTTGTCTGAAAAGCTTTGATTCACTTTTGATCAGGAAAAAGGACCAATCTTTTTGCCTAATCATAAATTGGAACCTGCAGGACTATTTTAGGGACTTCATCTACTGACGACACAACGTAACATGAAGTGACCCCTGCTGTCCCCTAGGGTTGTGTGCTGAAAGAATAAATAGTCCCTGAAAGAGCCCTGACATTTCCATCTTCAAGGCAGGAAGGCGTCACAGGAGAGATAATGTTCAAGTCTGGGCGTGTTAGCGTTTGTCTAAGTGTGGCTGAACCATGTTTCATGGTATCATGTTGGTGCATTGAAAAGAAAAAGGTTTATCTCTGGATTTTAAAGAGTATTCTGGGTATATGGAAGGATTACTTTTTAAATGCCACTTTGTAAGTTATTTATAGGAGTTTCCAAGGAAATTTCCAATTTTACCCAATTTTTGGCCTTACGCTCGCCTTGAGCAGCTCGCCGTGCGGCATTTGAGCTCTTTCTCAAGGTCATTTCCGGAGAACTGGAACATAGGTGCTGCAAACCCAAAGCACTTGACAGAAATAGCTGTTATCCTGTTCAGTGCCCTTTCTGTGCAGCTACTTCTGTTGGTCAAAGCTGAGAGACTTGATTACATGCAGACCTCTCGGCTCCCAGCTCAAGTGCTGGCCTCTACATGACAGTTTAACCGGACAAAAACTTGTCAAGTAATTAGTAGGCAGCGAGCAGAGTGCTAGCCATGCTGTGTGGAGTAAGAGACGTGTAAGGCACAGCACACTGGCCACCAACACCAACAAGTGTCCTGCCAAACCAAAGTATGGTGGATCTTGATGTTCTGCCTGACATAGGTGATAAATCCCATACTCAACTGTGAAGTGCTACAAAAGTGAGAGAGAGAAGCACGATTGGGCTTCCCTGGAAAGCCTGCAAGGTCAGAGTTGTAGAATGAATTTGATCTTGAGAGCCTGATTGTGACTGTTGACATTCCCTGTCCCACGCCCACTCACCTTATCTCATAAGATTCTGATTTTCTTTGGAGAAAGACTACTTTCCCGGGGATTGCTGTGAACATGTGACCCAAGCCCAAGAAATAATGGTTGTCCACCCCTGACCCCTGTGATTAGCTTACACATGAGCTCATATGTGTTCCAAGATGGCTGATACCCAGGACCACAGACTAGGAAAGGAGCAATCTCCTTCTAGAGAAAGGATGCTAGGGCCAGCCCACCTGGTACCTGCCTGAAACTGGAGCCAACATAGAAAGAAAACAGAGTCTAGAGCTGGAGAAATAGGCTAACGCCAAGTCCCGGAAAAAGTCATTTGAACTCTTGAATCCAGCTACACCTAACTTCAAAATCAAATAGTCCTAGATTTTAAGTTACAGAGCTCAATAATTTTTAACTCAGTAGTTTCTTGCTTAAAGCCAGTTGGAGTTGAAATTCTCTCAGTTGCAGTGGGAAGAGTCCTAACAAAATAGACAGCCGTTCAAGGGTGGTGACTGAACAGACATGAAGAACGAATGGCAAAAGAAAAGACTTGGAGGCAGGAATCTGAGTCTTTAGGGTCTCAATCATAGACATCAGGAACCATGGAGAATAAGGAGGAGAGCACATTACCAAACCACCAAGAGCTAGAGAGAGGGATTTGGACTTAAACTTGAACTTCTGAGAACCGCAGTGCAGAGTTGCGAGCGGGGAAGTGCTTGTCTAGACTCCTCTAGGCATCTCCTGAACTGGCTGGTTGCTGTTCTCTGGTGCAGGGAAACCCCCATCACAGCCAGATGCTGCACATCTGTGGTCAGCATTCTTCCTGTAAAGAATCACAGGGATTCTTCTCCGGCGAGCCTCACATTCTCCTCGGCTGCGGTCAGGAGGGGTGCCACGCTCCTCCAGCGAGCTTCAGCTGACAGCCTGCTCTGGGGCACGTCTTTCAGGGAAGCTGATTCATCTCCTCTGCCGGCTGGCTTTGGGGGATGCACACCTGTGTCCCAGAATGACTTCAGAGGGAGAGGAGACAAAGACTGTGTCAGGCACCAGCTGCCTCTGCAGACCGCAGGGCTGACACAGGGCTGCCATGCCTGATGGGCAGTTGGCCCCTGGGAACCCTAGCAGGGGGCTCTTCCTCGGAGTTCTGTCCCAACAGACAGCTTGGGTTGGGGGAGTCTGACATCTGGGCCCGACTGTATCCCTTACTTCTCCCCTGCGCTGTCCACACACTGCATTCCTCAAGCACTGCCAAATGCAAGCTGCACAAAGATGCTTTGATGGGAAAGGAGCAAAGAGGGTGGAGGTGCAGACACATCATGCCCACATGTGATGGGTGAGAATTCACCTCTGCGTGCTCAGCGGGAGGAAGCAAGAATAAGTAAAGGAAGGGAAAGATGAAAAGTGAGCAAAGACTTGACCCCCCACCCCACTAAGGGCAGATGCCCAGGACAGCATGTAAGAAGGTGCCCATGAGTCTGTGCTTCGCGCATGTCCATGATCCCGCGGCCTCTCGTGCTGCGCAGCTCACCTTGCTGAGCATGTGGGTTAGAACGACAGAGCTGGCTGCAGGAGCAAACAATGCCAGCATTCAAGTGGAACAGCACACAACAGGCTGATTATTTGCTCAGCGTCACAACGTGACATGAATCCGGAGGCTCTCCTTGGTGGCCATCCTCTAAGCAGTAACCCAAGAACCAATGTCTTCAATTTGTGACCCTGCAGAAGTAGCATCCCCAGCTACTTGGGTGTATTCAGAGCCTTACCGCCTGTGCGAGAGGGGGAAGCAGGGCTCAGTGCATCCCCAAGCAAAGATCTCTGCAAACTCCCTGGAACCGGGGGGCTGGGGGGCTGGCAGAGCTGTCCTGAGTTTCCAGGCAGGTGGATTCCACAGGAGTGACAGTGCTACCACATACACAGATCACTTAGCTATTGTCACACATAAGGCCCCAGTAGACGGCAAAGGTTTCCAATTCTTCATTAAGAATAAATATGTAGTATGGGTGATCAGAGTCCTGCCATGGGGGCTTGACACAAGTTGCTGCATCTGCCTGACCTTGATTACATCTTCTACAAGAATGAGCATAATCAGATGGTCCCCCAGAATGAGGGCTTGGCAGGAGCAAGAGTTTCTGTGACTCTTATAATTAAAAGTAAACACAAAATGATAGTAATGCTTACCTGACGGGGTTGTTAGGAGAAAAAAGTTCATGTCAACAAAAATGGGTTGAGGCAGCATGACAGGTTCTGGAGAGACAAACATGAATACGATACTGTATTACTTATCTGATGTCCCAGAGCTGGGAGCCTTAAGACAACAACAATTTTATTTTCCGCAGTGCTGTGGTTTGCCCAGGTGGTTCTGCTGGTTTTGCCCGGGCTCCCTCACACAGCTGCGTGGTTGTGGACCAGACTCACCTGGGACAGCTGGGAAGCTGTGTTCCATGAGAGCAAGCCGCAGGGCACAAACACTCACGGAAGCTCAGTGCACCCTGTTTCCAAAGTCCCATGGGCCAAAGCATGTCTCATGACCAAGTCCAGAGTCCATATGGAAGGAGCTCACAGAAGATGACGAATACCAGGAGGAGGGTTCCTTGGGAGCCATCATTAGAACAACTGGTCACAAGATCTTACTTATCCTGTAGGAGGCTTCTGTGAAACGTTCACCTTGCTCCACTGGACTGTCCACCCCCCAGAGCTACCTTCCTTGGTACATCCTGAGGAACCATTTCTAGAACTTCCTGGTGAGCTCAGACTGTACTGTGTAGGTCTGACTTTCCACTCTGAGGACCAGGAATCATTAGATCCATCTAACGTTAGATCATTCCTATCCACATTCCATTGTCCAGAATCCAGTCATGTGGCCAAAGTACAGCTGTAAAGGAGGTTGCTAAACACAATCTTCCAGCAAAACCTGGAAGTGGGGAGGGGCCCAGTCCTCATAGACTCTTGATGATATTTCTGCCTCCTCAGTGGTCCTGGTGCTCTAGGAAGTTCCCAGAAGGCTGCTGCTTTGCCTTTTGGTATGGCCATGTAGTAACCATGGAAATGGTGGGGAGTCTCGGGTGGGCCCACTGGCCAGGCTGGAATAAAGCAAGTTCAGGAGCAGCCAGACATTGTACCAAGGTCTCAAAGTCCTGGACATGTGCCATTCAAATGAACACGTACGGTCCCAGCCAGCAGGCACACTTCCACTCACCTTCTGGGAGGACAATATGGAGAACAATCGTTGTTGCTATCTTAATGCTTTAAAGTATTAGAACATAAAGCCTTTCCATTCTTTCATAGATTCCCTAGAAGAAATAGAATGTGGATAACATTAAGGGGTTTGACCCAGCTGGCCAGGGATAATGAGAGATCAAACAAATAGCAGAGTCAAGTGCTTTTTAAAAGACAGCCAGGGAAGACTTCCTGGGAGAGGTGAGCCTCATGAGATGGGCAGACACCGGGTAAGGAGCTTGGGGGCGTTTCAGGGACAGACACTTGGGCTTAATTTGTCACCTTCCTTTCTCCTTCCATGTTCTCTGTGTAGCATCATGGTTCCTTACTATGTGGCCGCTTCTCAGTAATAATCTGCCTGGGAGTCTGAATGCCCATCATTCCCCTGGTCCACAGTGACCACCCAGCCAGGCCTACCATTATCACTGCAGGCCAGGGCATGGGGGTGAGCTCATTTCATGAGAAACTATCGAGACCATTTTCAAAGGTTCCACAGCAGTGATTCATATCCCGCCTTCAGTGTGGCCACCTGGTACTTTTCCGCCGGTGTGAAAGACAGAGTCGAACATATCAGAACTCACTGTGGGAGGTAAGGGTAAAGACAGTCCTGTCAAGTTTTTGTTCCAGTCACATTTATATGACTGTGGAGCTCATAGCTCAAAACATTTAAGGTCATTGCCTTGGGATGGGCATCAGCCAGACTTTCTCCAGCTGTGTTGCCATGACTGCCTAGGTGTCCTAGATTGATTCAGAAAACTTACCTGCTATGGTCATTTTGCCTTTGGGGAAGAGCCCAAAGTCACAGAGTGCCAAATCTCACGGTACCTTTTGATCACATCATGCATAATGCTCCACTTACCTCTCTCTCCTCCTGTAGTCCTATCTTCTTTCTATCCATGTGTAGCTTATTGACACAGAGCAACAAAACTAGAAACCAACAGGCTGATGTACAGAGCTGCTGCAGAGTAAACAGGAATTTGCTGCTTGTTGACCTCAAGGTGGATCTGTCTACTGGAAGCTTGAAGGGTTTTAATGAATTCTTGAAAATTAGCAGTGACTGCCCATGGCTTTGAACTGTCTCTAAGACAGAAATTGCTCACATGGCTGTTCCGTCCATGAGCAGGTGAACCTGCATCTTGAGCTGCCACACCAAGCTTTCCAGTTCACAGGTCACGGAGAAACCAGCAAGCTAAGAGATTCTCAGGCTTCCGGCTCGTGGGCCAAGATCCTAGGAGCCAGCACCCGCCCACCCTTGGAAATCTGCAGCCTGGGACAGAGCCCAAGCTGCCCAACGATGTCTAGCAGGTCCAGCAGCCGCGCCTTAAGCTGCTCACTGTGGGAGGTCAGCTTCCTTCTTCCCTAAGAATCCAACATTTGATTTCCCTTATAAGATCCAGCTGTTTCCTGCAGGCGCCTACTGAGATGTGAGCCCCACTGGCCTTGGAGACCCCACCTCAGACCACAGTCCAAGATGTGGCTCAGGGACAAGTCTGTCCCCTTTCCTTCTACCCCTTCCAGGGCTACAGAGAGGCTCTGATGGCCCAGCTGTCCTCATCCTGTGGCCTGGGCCCTGGTGATATTTCAAGCTGCTTCTCCCAGCCGATGGAAGGTGGGGGGCCCCGGGTAGAAGCTCCCATGGAACACTGACCCAAGGGTTACCTCCGTTGTCCTTGGCCCCTGGCCCACCCGCAACTTTCCCAGCAATCTCACCACTGCCGCACCTTAAAACCACCCAGCAAGTGAAGTGGGGAGCCCTCTGGTCCTCCCCTGAAACCAGAGCTTGGGGAAGCCGACAGTGAGCCATGACTCAGTGTTTATCGGAGGCATCTCATGTGTGCATCTCATGTGTGCAACTGTGGGGGAAGGTTGATGAGCCCGGGACACTCAGGCTGGAAGGAGCTGCTCCCAAGGGAGGAGGACACAAGCGGGAGGAGGCCCTGGGCGTGAGGCAAGGACAGTCAAGGGACGCCAGCGGGCCATGCTCCAGATCCACCAGGACACTTCGGCGTTCCAAGAGGCTCTTCCCTGTGAACTCCTAGAAGCGACCACAAAAATTGCAAGGTCTCCGAGGGCCCAGTGTGTGACAGAAGCTGGACAGAGAGGGAATGCTGGCCACCCAGGATCCCACCAAACCCCCACCTGGATGCCTGGGGGCAGCCAGGGGTGACACCCACATCTTGGCCACTCCAGAGGAAGAAACATCTGCTCCTCCTCGTCAGAGCCTCTCTCCCCGCTCCAACCCCCTGGCCCCAGGCCGTGCCCTCCACCTGTACCTTCTCTCGCACGGAGCCGGGACTCAGCAAGTCATAAATAATGATGAAATAAAGACTACTCAGTGGATGCTGATCATCCAGTAAATCAGGCTAATTAGACATCCCCCTGCTCTGACCAAAGGGAGCAGTCACAGCAGGAACAGCTGTTCCCTGCTGGTCCAGCAACAGGGGCATGCGCTTGAGCAATCTCAGCCACAGACCCACCAGGACTACTGTCTCCTAGCACTCAGAGAAGTCAAGCTGTTCTTGCCCAGCTTGGCCTTTTATCTCCCAGCCTCTAATTTTCAAGCCACATCTGCCCTTATGCTTCATAGGAGGACAGGGGTGCTTGACGCTAGTCATTGAAATGTCTCTCAGGCACACGCCACTGATTCAGACTGACACGGGAGAGACAGAGTGACTCAGGCGGAGAGTCCCATCACTACGGCTCTGGCCTTGGAAGGACAGGTCTGCCTCTCTGTCACAGCAGGAGAGAAGGTCCTTGCGCGCCTTGCTTTGTGACACCACAGCTCACCCTCATCGGACATTATTGTGCACGTTTGACAGGCAAGCTCTGTTAGAAGGGAGCCCTTGACCTTCAGCGCCATGTTCTTGGGGTCAGGACAGTGCCTGGCAGATAGCAGGTGATCAGCGAGTATTTATCCGGCGGGTAGATGGGTGCTGAGTGAACCTCCGATCAGATCAGTCATGGAATGGCCAGTGGAAGGCTCACTGTAGGAACACCATGGCCACAGGCAATGTGCACACCCTCACACAGCAAATGAGTGCGTGGGGTCAGGACAGCACTCTTCCTGGTGAGAGTGACTGTGTCTTTACATGCATCTTTGCAGTTGATGCTTATCATGCCTGATCCCAGCTTTGAGATGGCAGAACTTTCACTCAGAGACTAAGGAACGTGGCCAAGTCAGGAGTTAGGTAAGGGCAGGTCAGGAACCATCTAACTACAGAGACAAGGACACTTTCTCCAAGTCATTATTCCAGTTGTGTACTCACCAAAGCACTACCATACTATTGTAACCTGACTTCTCCCAGCTATCTTATCACCGTCACTCAATTAGAACCTCTGACTGTATCATTCCATTATCACACTCCAAGCAGAACTTAGCACTAGAACTCCACACACCACATACACAATAATTATACACCTACAGACAGCGAATTGATTCATGTCGTCATAGAGAACATTGCCAATGCTGCTGCTCAGAGAAAGAAAGAACAATTAAAACAGAGGTGTCGAAGTAGCCCTATCTGGCTGGAAACCTCTTTCACAGGGTCAGGTTTTATTGCTCTTAATATTTTCAGTTGTTCACAAAGTTGTTTACACCATACTTATTGCGTGAATTAAGAAAATCAATGACTCATAACCTGGGGTCTCTTTATGTTAAGCTGAGTCATGTCAGGAGCTATTGCTATGGTTTAAATGTCCCTTTCAAAATTCATGTTGTGCGGGGCATGGTGGCACACACCTGCAATCCCAGCACTTGGGAGGCTGAGGCAGGAGTATCGTTGTGAATTCGAGACCATCCTGGGCTACACAGTGAGCTCAAGGCCAGCCTGAACTGCATAGTGAGACCCTGTCTCAAAAAGACAAAAAAAAAAATTTATGTTGTAATTTAGTAGCCACTGTGATGGTATCGGGGCTGAAAACTTCAAGAGGAGTGCACATCCCAAGGGCACTGCCTTGAGGAATGGATTGCTATGGTTATCAAGGGAGTGGGTTAGTTACTGGGACACCAGATTTCTGATTTTAGCAATGGGTGAGTTCAGAGCAGCTTGTTCTTCCTGTCTCACACATGCCCCTTGCTCTTTCTTCCTGGTAAGATAACCCACAAAAGCCCTACCACATATGTGTCCCCTGCCTTTAGACTTCCTGGCTTCCAGAGCCATGAGCTAGATAAACCCAAGTTCTTTAAAAATTACCCACCCTGTGGTGCTCCATGATAACAGCAGAAAACAGACCAAGATATTTTATCTAGACTGTTTAAAATTTTTGATGGATAAGCACCTGTGTGATGTGAACCGCAGAGAAAATACCCAAAAACTCCCTGGAATAAGTAACCCATGGTCTCATGGCAACTGGTGCAGTACCTGACAGAGAGTGGGCACTCAGGAACCAGTTGCAGAACCATGTGCTTCCATGGATTTTGCTGTCCTGAAAACAGTTTCAAGGTACTAAGTAGTTTTCATTTGTTATCTTCTTTAATCCAATATCAACTCTACAAACCAAATGTAAGTATCCGTGGTTCACCAATAAGGAAACTAAGCTTCAGAAAGTTTAGGTAACTTGCCCAAGATCCCATAGATATGAGGACTACAAACAGGAATTAATTGCTCAAGTCCACAGTTTTAGCCTCTGTGTTTGATTCTGTGGCCTGGCTCCTTCTGGCAGGGACATTCCGTCCAAGCAACAGGAGCATCCCTGGGGATCCTTGAGCCCCAGAGCAGCTCCCAGGGAAGAACTCTGGGCTCATGGCAAAGCTGCAGGTGCCATGCAGTCTCCCGACTTCTCCGAGGGGCCACAGCTGGGGTCCCCCACCTACCCCTTCCCACCAGAGATGGCGGTGAGCCTCAGGCAGGGCCACAGAAGAGCGGGGAGCTCTTGAGCCAGACAGGGTGCACATTTCCAAGCTTTATTCTTTCACTCTGTAACTCAGGTCTTCAAAGTATGTGGACACTCATCTTATTCCCATTTTACAGAGGAAGAAAAGGAGGCTTGGGGAATTTAAGACTTGTCAAAGTTCACGTAGCCAGTCCTCAGAAGAATTATGTTTTTAGCTCA